CTGCTGGGGAGGGCTATTGGGGGGTGGGGGGTTGGACCAGCAGGGGAGGGAAGTTGGGGGTAATTGAGTTGGCAGGGGAGCAGTTAGGTGTCAATAATGCTGGCAGGGGAGTGGTTACAGGAAATCAGGCAGGCAGGCAGGCAAGCAGTTAGGAGCCAATGATCCTGGATGGTGAGAGGGATGTCCCAGACTGGAGAGGGTGCAGGCTGGGCTGAGGGACAAATTTCATGCACTGGGCCTCTAGTATTAAAATAAATACCACTGGTACTGCTGCCAGATGTATTTAATTTTTTTTTATTAAAGAAATCTAACCCTGGTGGGTGTGGCTCAGTTGGTTGGGCCTCCCTGAACCAAGTGTCCCCGTTCTATTCCCAGGACTGGGGTTGCAGGCCCCGTGGAGTAGGAGGCAGTGGACCATGTTTCTCTCTCATTGAGGTTTCTCTCTCTCCCCTTCTCCCTTCCTCTATAAATGAATAAAAACAGTAAAAACCACCTAACTGCTAGGAAGTAAGAGGCCCTGGCCCTCCCACAGCAGCACGGCACTCTGATGCGACCCTCCCGGAGCCCCGGAGCACAGCAGACGCACCAGGCTGGTCCCGGTCCCGGGAAAGCGGGCGGCGAGCACGGCGTGGCTGCGGCTGATGGACTGGTCGTTCTCCAGGAGGACCCCGCAGTTCTTCCTCCCCACCGTGTACTCCACGCCCGTCAGAAGTCGGTGTGGTTCTAGGAGAACGAGGAGACTGAGAAACACACATGTACACGCGCGTGCACATATGTAAGGGATACGGCCTTATTTTTACTCACAAAGAAAACGTGTTTTTCAGTAAAGTCTCGCTGCAGGACCCAGAGGCTGACTAGCCGGAAAACCACACTGAGGAGCCAGAATGACCACCTTCCCCAGAGGCCCTGGAGCATCTGTTACCGCCACCCTCACTATTGGAGGTCAATGTGCCTGCGGAGAACCGATGGACGGACCACAGGCCCTGGGAACGCAGGGCTGCGGGAACCCAGGTCCCTGACCCGCTGCAGCGGATGAAAAGCAGGTGACACAGGAGGGAGCAGGAGCCCAGCCTCCTGCCCGGTCCCCCCCCAGAAGCCAGACACCCTACCCCGCACAGGTGCCCAGCCTCCTGCCCGCTCCCCCCCGCAGGAGCCGGACACCCTACCCCCCACAGGTGCCCAGCCTCCTGCCCCCCTCCCAGAAACCTGGCCCCAACCCCCCCCAGGAGCCCGACACCCTCCCCCCCTCCCCCGCAAATGCCCCCTGCAAGTGCTCTCCCCCCCTCCCCCGCAGGAGACGGACACCCTACCCCCCACAGGTGCCCAGCCTCCTGCCCCCCTCCCAGGAGCCCAGCCCCAACCCCCCCGCAGGAGCCCGACACCCTCCCCCCTCCCCCGCAAATGCCCCCTGCAAGTGCTCCCCCCCCTTCCCCCGCAGGAGCCGGACACCCTACCCCCCACAGGTGCCCAGCCTCCTGCCCCCCTCCCAGAAACCCAGCCCCAACCCCCCCCAGGAGCCCGACACCCTACCTCCCCCCCCCGCAGGTGCTCCCCCCTGCAGGTGCCCTCCCCCCACAGGTGCTTCCCAGGTGCTCCCTCTCCGTGGGTGCTCCCCCCACAGGTGCCTCCCCCGCAGATGCTCCCTCTGGTGCCTCCCCCTGCAGGTGCTCCCCCAGGTGCCCGTCCTCCAGGTGCCTGTCCCCGGGTGCCCCCCCTGCAGATGCTCCCCCAGGTGCCCTCCCTGCAGATGCTCCCTCAGGTGCCTCCCCCCCAGGTGCTCCCCCAGGTGCCCGTCCTCCAGGTGCCTGTCCCCGGGTGCCAGTCCCCACCACCCGGCGCGCGCAGCACAACCGCGTCGGTGTCCAGAGCAGGCGGGGGTCCGTCGCCGCAGCTTCTCACAGGAGCGCCTGCTGTCCCGTCAGCGGGACCCGCCGCAGCCCACGCGACCCTCACCGGGCGGCCGCCACCCCGCAGGGTCCGCCGTCACCGGCACCCGAGCGGCCGGGCAACTCGGGAACCTGCGGCTGCGGGTTCGGTACCCGGGACAGCCGGACCCCGCCCGCCCCCAGGACGCCCGCCCCGCCCCGCCCGCGTCGGACGCACAGCCTCCCGCCGTCGCTGGAAGGTGACGACAGGGTCTGGGTCAAGCAGGAAGTGCCCCTCGGACCCTCTCTCCCCAGCCCGGCCCTGGGAAGTCGGCCCTCGATCACCTCCCCGCCGCCTCACCTCGGGCCGAGCCCGCGAGCGGGAGCAGCTTCCACATGAATCCGGCCTCAGTGTCGGCGACGTGCGGCTGCGCAGCCTCAGCTGCCGGCCCGGCGCGGCCCGGCGCCTGCGAACTGGCGGGCTCCGGGACGCGCCTGCTCGCGGACTGCGCCTGCGCGGGAGGGCGGCGGCACCCGGGCGCCACCTGGTGGCAGGGAGGGAATGGCGCAGCCTCTAAGGCCTGAGAAGTGGGGATCCCGTTTTAAGGTGTTCGCCAATATTGGATTACCTGCATTTTCCTGGTTGTAAATGGAAATAGCTTTATAATTAGCTGCAAAGCAACATAAGGAAATTTCATAGACACTAACATACTAATCACTCAGAATCGGAAAAAGGCCTTCCACAATTTATGGGAAGCTCCTGGTAAACCACAACATTGTTAGCTCCTCTGATTCAAACAGCCCCTCTCTTCAAACTGGAAGACAAGGTAAGTTACTCTCAAGACTACATCCTTGCATACACCTCCTCTCTGCCTTTTTTTTTTTTTTTTTTTAAACAACTCGGGTAATTCACACCAAGTCTCTAATTAGTAGAAAGTTTCCTTCCTCCTCTCCTCTTCAAACAAGCCTCTTTGGAACTCTTCCTAACTTTACTCTGAGCATCTTCTACAGGCTTGGGTGGAGATTCGGATAAAGACATCTGCCTAGGACATCTGTCTGGTTGTCTCATGAAGAAGACCGGGGCGGGATCAGGGGCGTGTCTGATGTCCAATTTCAGCCACCCCCCACCCCCCACCCCCCACCCCCCGCTACTGTAGCAACAGCAGCCAAGGCTTTAAAAGGGGGAGCAGCTTTTGTTCTTTGCCTTTTCCTTGGTGAAAGTAAAAATAAACTTCTTCTCTGCATCTGTCTCTTTTTGCAGTTGCGAATTCTTTCATAGTCCACATTACCGGCCCCCAAACCTTAACACTACTTATATAATTCCATGGGTTTGTAATTTCTTAAATTGCAGTCATCCCTTTGTATGGATCCTAGTGATGGTAACGATGATTATGGTAAAAATAAGGATTTCGCCAGTTAACTTACTATTTTTACTCCTAGTTCAAGTCAACCTCTCCCAACCTCTCTGTTTCATAATGGTACACTTTCATCTAATCAGGAGCTGAACTCTTTCCATTTTCACTTGGACCTAACTGTTGTAAGCTCTGCTCCCAATCCAGGAGTCCCTAACCCTTGACCACCTCCACCCTGCACCCGCGGTCGCCAGCCCTTCAGACTCACAGACGACTAGAGTACACTTGTGATCACAGAAGTTCTGGTTTGCAAAAGTATTCTGTAATGTTACAAAATGTAAAGTTATTGTTTAATCTGTGTTCTATTGGCACAAGGATAGACAATAGGCAAATGGGTTAATATATCGATAGAAAGACCCAAAAAACACTCACACCTATAAATTTAATTTTTCAAAAGTTACAATGCAGAGCAATGGTGGAAAGGTCTTATGATGTTTTGTTTTCCAATAATGATCTGGGAGGTATTGGTTAACTCTACAGAAGATAGGAAGACAGGGCTTATATTTCACAAACATACAAAAGAAATCAACTCCCTATGGATAATAGATCTAAATATGACTAAATATTTTTAAAGAAAATACGAGCAAGATTTGGCAAATCTTTTAAAAATAGAACACAGCCGAAACCGGTTTGGTTCAGTGGTAGAGCGTCAGTCTGCGGACTGAAAGGTCCCAGGTTCGATTCCGGTCAAGGGCATGAACATTGGTTTCGGGCACATCCCCGGTAGGGGGTGTGTAAGAGGCAGCTGGACGATGTTTCTCTCTCATGGACGTTTCTAGCTCTCTATCTCTCTCCCTTCCTCTCTGTAAAAAATCAATAAAATACATTTAAAAAATAAATAAATAAAATAGTACATAAAAAAGTGTGCCCAAAGCTGCAGAATCCGTAAGTTCCACTGACTCTGTGGGCCAGAACAATTGGTAGGGGTTTTCTTGTTACTTTCTGGAGGACAAACATGCCCACCACAGCCTTCAATACACTGGGGGTTCTTGTGAATCCAACCGGATTGAGGTTCCGGCCAGGCCACCGAGCCTAAGGGTGACGTCGTCACAGCACCCTACGAGGACACCGCCAGGAGGCCGTCCGCACCGCACCGGGACAACTACAGAGAGCGAAGGAGCCCCTCCGCACCAGCTCCAGCGAGCGGGGAGGCGCCACGCAGCACGGCCTGGCCCGCCAGTCCCCGGCTCCCGCCAGCACATTCCGTCCCCGCCGGACCCCAGCCCCGCCCCGCCCCGCCCCGCCCCGCCCCGCCCCGCCCCGCCTGCACCGCGCAAGCCCCGCCCCAGCCTCAGCCACGCCCCGCCTCCACCGCGCAAGGCCTGCCCCAGCCTCAGCCACGCCCCACCTCCACCGCGCAAGCCCCGCCCCCGCCCCGCCCCTCCTCCACCGCGCAAACCCCAGCCTCAGCCACGCCCCGCCTCCACCGCGCAAGCCACGCCCCAGCCTCAGCCACGCCCTGCCTCCACCGCGCAAGCCCCGCCCCCAGCCGCAGCCTCGCCCCAGCCGCAGCCACGCCCCCAGCCGCAGCCACGCCCCGCCTCCACCGCGCAGCCCCGCCCCAGCCGCAGCCACGCCCCCAGCCGCAGCCACGCCCCGCCTCCACCGCGCAAGCCCCGCCCCGGTCTCAGACACTCCTTGCCCGCTCAGAGTCTCAGACACGCCCCCTAGCCCCGCCCCCGGTCTCAGACACGCCCCCGGCCCTGCTGGGGTCTCAGACACCCCCTGACCCCCGTCCCAGTCTCAGTGACTCCCCGACCTTGACCCCGGTCCCAGCCACGCCCCCGACTCCGGCCACGCCCGCGCTCACACTCTGCTCCGGGCCGCGTTTCCGGACGCTTCCTGCTCCGGCCATGGCGCTGCTGGGTCGGGTGTCCTTCGCTCGAGGTCGCGGTCCGCGGCGGGTAAGGCGGCGCTGGCGGGCCGGCTCGGGGTCCCCGCGAGCACCCTGCTCTGCCTGCCTCGGGGCGGCGTCGGGGGCGGGGCGGGACGGGGCTCCTGGCGCGGAGTAGGGGCCGCCGCGGTCTCGGGGTCGTCCGGTCCCGGGCGCGTGCCCGCTGGGACAGGGACCCTGCGCGCGGCGGCCCTTCCCGCAGGGAAGCGGACGGTGCTGTCCGTGCGGCCAGACATGGTGCAGCCCGACGAGGGTGGCTCAGTGACAGCCTCCGCCGGTGCGCTGAAGGGACCGAGGTTCGATTCCGGTCAAGGACATACGGTTGCGGGTTTGATCCCCAGTGGGGGACGTGCAAGAGGCAGCCAATCAATGATTCTCTCTCATCATTGAAGTTTCTCTCTTTCCCTCTCCCTTCCTTTCTGAAATCTATCTATATATAACAAAAACAATTAAAAAACATCAATACTAACAAATTCACATAAAAAGAGAAACAAAGGTCAGCACCCCGCTGTCCGACGCGGTGCTGGGCGGCGCGCACCGTGCATCCAGACCTCGGCCTGCAGAGAGCGTGGGAGGGGCTGCAGGGACGGAGGGATGGGACGAGATAGGAGAATGTCCCACAGCCCCTTCCCCAACTAAACAAAACCCTAAGACTCAACTGAACCCGAGGCAGATCTCCTCAGCCAGGGCACAGACAGCTGGCCAGCCGCTGGCAGAGCGGCGCCCGGCGGTCTTTCTGACAAAGGACCAGTCCAAGGAGAACACCACGAGACGGTCTGATGAGTCTCCCAAGTGGCACGACTTTCTTTTGAAAAGATCTGTTCCGGGCGGTGCTTTGCTGATACCGGTTCCCCTTCCTGGGAGGATTAGGTTATAGGTTATATCAAAGGTTTCTTCTCACAGACTTTCTCATTTCAATCCTACAACAGCCCTCTGGTGGGACAGTCTCCAACACCAGCAGCTGGGATTGTGGTAAATAAGCTCACACACTCCTGACACCATTTGCCAGTAAGACTGAGAGGGCAAAAATTAACTCTTTAAAAATTAATTGTAATCTGACAATTCTGAAATTCCTGAGATCGGGGGTTTGGAGACAAGAAGCCCTGTTGTGATGGGTGGTGGGTCCCTCCGTTTGAATTCCTAGGGAAGACAAGTCTACACATCAGTGAAGCTGGAACTGCGTGTGTGTGCAAATACAGTTTGAAACTCCTTATTTGAATACTTTTGTTACCAAGAACCAAGAGAAATATTCTTTGTTACACATTCTATTTAAGAAGTGCGGTGTTGTGTTGTCCTAGCCCGTTTGGCTCAGTGGATAGAGTGTCAGCCTGTGGACTAAAGGATCCCAGTCAAGGGCATGTACAGGGGTCGCAGGCTCCTCCCCGGCCCAGGCCCAGGCCCAGACCTTGGTCTGGGTGCCTGCAGGAGGCAAGCAATTGATGTGTTTCTCTCACATCAATATTTCTGTCTTTTCATTCTCTCTAATAATCAATGGGAAAATATCCTTGGGTGAGAGAATGCATACAGTGCCCCCAGCTGTGACCCCATCAATGTGGCGAGGCATGAGGAGAATGCATGCATGCACAGACAGTGCCCCCAGCTGTGACCCCATCAATGTGGCGAGGCATGAGGAGAATGCATGCATGCACAGACAGTGCCCCCAGCTGTGACCCCATCAATGTGGCGAGGCATGAGGAGAATGCATGCATGCACAGACAGTGCCCCCAGCTGTGACCCCATCAATGTGGCGAGGCATGAGGAGAATGCATGCATGCGCAGACAGTGCCCCCAGCTGTGACCCCATCAATGTGGCGAGGCATGAGGAGAATGCATGCATGCACAGACAGTGCCCCCAGCTGTGACCCCATCAATGTGGCGAGGCATGAGGAGAATGCATGCATGCACAGACAGTGCCCCCAGCTGTGACCCCATCAATGTGGCGAGGCATGAGGAGAATGCATGCATGCGCAGACAGTGCCCCCAGCTGTGACCCCATCAATGTGGCGAGGCATGAGGAGAATGCATGCATGCGCAGACAGTGCCCCCAGCTGTGACCCCATCAATGTGGCGAGGCATGAGGAGAATGCATGCATGCGCAGACAGTGCCCCCAGCTGTGACCCCATCAATGTGGCGAGGCATGAGGAGAATGCATGCATGCACAGACAGTGCCCCCAGCTGTGACCCCATCAATGTGGCGAGGCATGAGGAGAATGCATGCATGCACAGACAGTGCCCCCAGCTGTGACCCATCAATGTGGCGAGGCATGAGGAGAATGCATGCATGCACAGACAGTGCCCCCAGCCGCTGGAGAGTTGGTTGGAGTAGCTCCTGGAGGCGTCCTGTGTGCATGGACGATGCGTTGCTTTGAGGAGGCAAAGATAGGCATTTCCCCAAAGTCATCCTTTGAGAAATAAGCTGTTCAGTCTCTTCCAAGCTGACATTTTTATGTGACATTTAAGGCCAAGTTCACTTATGGGAATTTCAGTTGGGATAAATTTGATCTGAAAAATATTTACTTTGACCTAAATCAACAGGTAGTTGGAAACTTAAAAAATGGATATGGTAATATTCCATTGTTTATAAACATAGCTCACACTTAATTGTGGAATACACTTCAAATAGGTCACCCATCCTTCTCATCATGCTGATTCTAGGCCAGTTTTCTTTTTAAAAAAATATATTTTATTGATTTTTTACAGAGAGGAAGGGAGAGCAATAGAGTTACAAACATTGATGAGAGAGAAATATCAATCAGCTGCCTCCTGCACACTCCCCACTGGGGATGTGCCCGCATCCAAGGTTCATGTCCTTGACCGGAATTGAACCTGGGACCCTACTGTCCGAAAACCGACGCTCTATCCACTGAGCCAAACCAGCTAGGGCTAGGCCAGTTTTCTTGCTACAATGTTGTTTTCTTCTCCCTTTCCTCTTGTGTACTTGCATATGTGATTTGATTTTTTTAAACTTGTTGTTTTGTTTGTTAATCCTCACCCAAGGATATAATTACATTGATTTTTAGAGAGAGTGGAAAGGAGAGGGAGACACAGAGAGAAACATCAATGTGAGAGAAACACATTGGTTGGTTGCCTCCTGCACTCACCCCGACAGGGCCTGCAATCAAGGTACTGTAAGTGCCCTTGACCAGAATTGAACCTGGGATCCTTCAATCCGGGACCAATGTTCTATCCACTGAGCCAAACCAGATAGGGCAGATTTTTTTTTAACTTAGCAAAAAATAGTTTTATTGATTTTTATAGGGAGGGAAACAACAACCTGCTGCCTCCTGCACGCCCCCAGGGGGGATCGAGCTGGCAACCCCATGTCCCCCGGGGGAAGTAGAACCAGTGCCCTTTCCGTGCCTGGGGTGATGCCCAACCACTGAGCCACGCCCACTGGCCAGGGCTTGTTGCTTTTAAATGAAAAATGTATTAACAGCGAGCATTTGTCAGTACAAAAGTGTAAGCTCTCACCGGGAGGTTCCTGCCAGGAGCCCCAGTGGGCTGTCCTCCCGGTAGCAGAGTCCAATGCAGAGCCTTCCCCGGTGTAGGGAGGGCATCCTTGGACCCATCTTTATTTTATTTTATTTTATTTTATTTTATTTATTTTATTTAATTTTATTTTCGACCCATTTTTAAAGAGGCACCAGTTTTAAAGTGTCAGCAGAGTTTCTTACGCTTTTGGATGTGAGGCTGCCTCCGCTGGGTGAGAAAGAACGGGAGTTGGTGAAAAGAAAGGAGGAGCCCAGGCCAGAGGGGGTGTGCTTGGCGAGGGTCAGGGTGCTGAGGGGCTGGTGTCTGGTGGTTCTTCCAGCAACTTCTGTGCATATATAACATGTGTATGAAGTGTATGAAGAGACCTCATTTAAAAACCATACCAATGAAGCATGTTCCTTAACAGAATTTCCTTAGGAGGTAATTGTTGAGTGGTTGGATAAACAGCATATAAATAACAATGTTTACATTAGCATGTGAGTTCTGGCTTTTACTAGAGCCCTGAGTGAGTCATTATGTTCCCTATGGAAATGCAGGTTTGTTTTCTAGTATTTTCTGTTACAAGCGATGCTTTAATGAATATGTTGGACTACTTTGAGCCCTTTGCATATCTGAGTCCCAAAAAATAAAAACAGCAACGAATTTTAGAATAAGGGTGTCAACTTTTCAAAGAGCCCACTGAGACTGGGATAGAAATGGGACCCGTGGACACAACTCTTTCACGCTTTGATTAAATGTATTAGTATTTTGATCTTTTTGATGTGATTTTTAAATATAGCTATTTTAATTTTATTTTCATCTTAATGGATATCTGTGTAAGATTGGAGTCGCTCAGGGAATTAGGTGGATGCAGTGAGCAAGAGGGGGGTTTATTAGAGGGAATGGGGGATAGAGCCACACCGGAAGGTTGGGCCTCCGCTGTTCTCGGGGTTGAGTTTTATGCGCTGAAACCACCAGGGGCGGAGGCTGAGGGATGTAGCGTTTTATTCTGATTGGATGGAGTTCTTTGTCCTTCAGCGCGATTGGTGCTGGCGGAGGCTGTCCACCTCAGTGCGCTGCCTCCTGCTCAGTCCAATGGGCCGGCAGCCTGTTCCAGGAGCTGAGGCTGGCCCGGTCTGCTCGGGACTGTTGGTCCGCTTGAGCAATGTCCTCTCCTGGCTCTCACTTTGATCACGGCTTCTTCCTGCCCCCAAATGAGTGAGGACATCTATAAGAAAAATCCCCAGTTGTGGAGTTGCTGGTTTGAAGGGTATTTATCGTTACATTTTGATAAATGTTGCCAATTGGCCTCTGGAGAAATTGTCCCAATTTATATCAACAGGTTATAAGAGTGACTTTAATAAACTGTTTCTTGTATCATGTATTATAAAATCTTGAACCTCAATAATCTGGCAAGAGAAAAAGGTATCTTCCAATGTTTAAATTCGAGTGTTTAGCTGTGTGTTTGTATTTGTTTTCTTTGTGTAGATTAGCTTTTAAAGCTCTTTGCCTAGTGCCGTGGTCGGCAAACTGAGGCTCTTTGGCCTCTTGAGCGTGGCTCTTCCACAAAATACCACGGCCTGGGCGGGTCTATTTTGAAGAAGTGGCGTTAGAAGAATTTAAGTTGAAAAAAATTGGCTCTCAAAAGAAATTTCAATATTTGTTTCTGTTGACTAATGAGTTTGCAGACCACTGGCCTAGTGTTTCTATATGCAAATGACTTCTTAATACTCATATCAATAGACTGGATTTTTTCCTTAGATGTAAACTAATTTCAAGATGCCATTGTTCAAAATCAATGGCAACCACTACTTTAACAACTTGTTGAAACAAGTTGGCTCTGTACGGCACGGCTGCGAGCACCTCAGCGCCGGGAGCTCACTTGTCTGCTCCCCCAGCGCCGGTGGCTGGGAGCCTGGCCATCCGTGTCACAGGCAAACAAACAAGCATGTGCTGGAGGGGCCCCCCTTGGTGCCGGAGGCCGTCCCCGAGGGCCTCCAGCGCCTGCCTTGCCGCGGCAGAGCCCAGCGTGGAAGCCTTCCCGGTGCGGAGAGGTCATCCGACCCATTTTTATTTTATTTTATTTTATTCTCCACCCTTTTAAAGAGGCACCAGTTCTAAAGTGTCAGCAGGTTTGCTGACACTTTGCCTGGTTTTGAGGCTGCCTCCGCCGGGTGAGCAGGAACGGGAGTGGATGAGGCTGAAAAGAAAGGAGGAGCCCAGGCGAAGGGGACCGTGCTTGGCGAGGGTCTGGTGCTGAGGGGCTGGGGACACAGATTACTCCCCACCTGGCCTGCTGGAGAGGGACTGAGGCCACCTTGCCCAACAGCTTGAATGTCATGCTAATGAGTTGAAATTCTTAAAATATAATTTTATTGATTTTTAGAGAAAGGGAGGGAGAGAGAGAAACATGGATGTGAGAGTGAAACATCTATTGACTGCCTCCTGCACATCCCCTATTAGGGATTTACCCCACAACCCGGGCATGTATCTGACCAGGAATCCAACTGCAGCCTTCTCATGCATGGACAATGCCCAACCCACTGAGCCACACAGGCCAGGGCTAATTTGGGTATCTTTTATTCTGTTGAGCTTGATGTTTTTGAGGAATGGGATGTTAATGTGGAGGCCCAGGCAATCTATACTAATAAAAGCCTAAGTGGCCCTCGTGCGCAACATCATCACAAGATGGCTGCCACAAGATGGCCCAGTGCACAGCGGAGGTGGAGGCGGCTGCTCCATGTGGTGAGGCCTGGGGTCCTGTGGCTCTGTGGCTCGGAGGAGGCAGGTCCCGGTGGAGGAGGCAGGGGACGCCAGTTGTGGGCCATCAGGCCAGCAGGGGAGGGCAGTTGGGGACTAATGGGCCAACAGAAGAGGACAGTTGGGGGCGATCAGGCTGGCAAGGGAGGGCAATTGTAGACCATCAAGCCAGCAGGGGAGAGCAGTTTTGGACGATCAGGCCAGCAGGGGAGGGCAGTTTTGGGCAATCAGGCCAGCAGGGGAGGGCAGTTGGGGTAATCTGGTCAGCAAGGGAGGAGTTAGGTGTCAATCAGGTTGGCAGGGGAGTGGTTAGGGGGCGATCAGGCTGGCAGGCAGGGGAGCGGTTAGGAGCCAGCGGTCCCAGATTGTGAGAGGGATGTCCAACTGCTAGTTTAAGCCCCATCCCTGTAAGGAGCGGGTCTAAGATGTCAGACAGTATACCCTGAGAGCTTCTGGATTGTGAGAGGGCACAGGCCGGGCTGAGGGACCCCCTGAGTGCACGAATTTTGTGCACTGGGCCTCTAGTAGTAAAATAACAATGATGAGGAAATAGCTAAGCCAAGCATTATTTAAATATTCACTTAGATCCACAACTTTAATACAAGGGTCTATGATTACGTGGTTTTTACAGATTTGAAACTGGGTTTTCTTACTAATGTACCCAAAACATTAAACAGTGATGTTTACAGAAATGTTTTTACATGAAACTTCAGAAACTTTTTTATGGTGTGAAATTACACCGTGCTTCCCCTTCTTTCCCGTATGGTTTCTTGGGTTCTGCTTAGACAAGGAGTCACCTCACCTGTCTCAGGTCTCGAAGGCCTGTCCTGCAGAGGCCCCAGGCCAGGGCTCTCTGCGGGGAGGGGCTCTCGGGGGCATGGGCTCAGCCAGGTTTAGGTAGATTTCACTGTCGGGGCAGCTGAGTTTTATCTGGATTTTCCCAGTATTGAAATAAATATTGGCTTAAATTTTTAAAAACACAGCAGGCCTAAGAAAAGACATGTTGTCGAGAATCACCAATGTACCACTATTATAGTGTTTATTCTAGACATTTCAGACAAGCCAAATGCTTAGAGAATTTAGGAATAAATTCCATTGGTCTCAGCCTTCATCCTGTAGGGCTCAGACTGCAGGATGCTCAGAATTGCACTCTGGGGCATGGAGCAGGGCTGCTCTCCCAGGGGCTGTGACAGAAGGCGGGAAGGAGGGTACGGTCTACAGGATGCAGGTGAGAGATGAATGTGGGCGAGGAGGCAGGTGATGGCTAACATTTTTTTTTTTTTTTTGAGATTTCAGAACTTTTAAAATATAAATTTGTATTGCCAAAATTGGAAGACTTGGGTTAAGAATTTTATAGATTTAAAGATCAATCTTGATAGGAAAGGTGTTCTTTTCATTCTGAAAAACAAGTTATATCCAGAAAAACCACAGTGAGATTTGAAAATCTGTAAAAGACTACTTTGTTTTCACTTCTTATGACTCGGTGAAAATAGCCAGCATGCTGTTTCAGTTTGTTCAGGGTCCCTCTCCATAGGAAGAGGAGATTGGATACAAGGTCCAGTGAGGTCTGTTCATTTCTTTGGATCTTAATGTTGAAATCAACTTCCTTTTAGGCAAACAGATGGCTTGAATTTACTGCTCAGAGCAAGTATGCTGAGGATGGTCAGAGGTGATGTGGACTAAAGTAACCTGTCAGTTTCCGCACTTTTCACGGTGAGGAAAGGGCCTCAGGATCAATATTGATCAGATCAGATCAGACACTGTGGGTGAGATGGTGCTGACTTTTAATCTGTTACATTATAGACACTTGTTAGGATTTATTATTTTTTAAATATTTTTATTGATTTCAGGAAGGGAGAGGGAAAGAGAAATAGAAACATTAATGACAAGAGAGAATCATTGATTGGCTGCCTCCTGCACATGTCCAGGCATGTGCCCTGACTGGGAATTGAAATGTGACCTCCGGGTTCATAGGTCACTATGCCAGCAAGGCAAGAATTATTTTTATCAAATGTGATTATTTTAACCTTCGTTTTTTAAATAAATTTTTATTGTTTAGATTATTACAGGTGTTCCTCTTTTTTTTTTCTCCATAGCTCCCCTCCACCTGATTCCCAACCCCACCCCATTTCCGCCACTGTCTTCATCCATAGATGTAAGATTTTTGTCCATTCTCTTCCCGAGCCCCTCACACTCCCTTCCCCCGAGAATTGTCAGTCCACTCCCTTTATATGTCCCTGATTCTATTATATTCACCAGTCCATTCTGTTCTTCAGATTTTTTATTCACTTGATTTTTAGATTCACTTGTTGGTAGGTATGTATTTGATGTCATTTTGTTGTTCATAATTTTTTATCTTTTCCTTTTCCTTTTTCTTCCTCTTCTTAAAGAATACTCTTCAGCATTTTATGTAATCCTTGTTTGGTGGTGATGAACTCCTTTAGCTTTTTCTTGTCTGTGAAGCCCTTTATCTGACCTTCAATTCTGAATGATAGCTTTGCTGGATAGAGTAATCTTGGTTGTAGGTTCTTGATATTCATCACTTTGAATATTTCTTGCCACTCCCTTCTGGCCTGCATAGTTTCTGTTGAAAAATCAGCTGACAGTCGTATGGGTACTCCCTTGTAGGTAACTAACTGTTTTTCTTTTGCTGCTTTTAAGATTCTCTCTTTGTCTTTTGCTTTTGGCATTTTAATTATGATGTGTCTTGGTGTGGTTCTCTTTGGGATTCCTTTTGTTCAGGGTTCTGTGTGCTTCCTGGACTTGTAAGTCTATTTCTTTCACCAAGTGGGGGAAGTTTTCTGTCATTATTTCTTCAAATAGGTTTTCAATATCTTGCTTTCTCTCTTCTTCTGGCACCCCCATAATTTGGATGTTGGTATGCTTAAAATTGTCCCAGAGGCTCCTTACACTATCTTTGTATTTTTGGATTCTTTTTTCTTTTCCAGTTGGGTGTTTTTTATTTCCTCATATTTCAGATCTTTGGTTTGATTCTTGGGGTACATTTATCTACAGTTGAGTTTCTGTATATTCTTTATTTCAGACAGTGTATAGTTAATTTCTGCCTTTTTTTTTTTTTTTTTTTTTTTTTGCATTCTCATTAAGGTCATTGAAGGTCTCACTAAGCTCCTCAGAAGTCTCATCAAGTTTCTCAGCGGTTTTTAGAAGATTCTTGAGTAACCTTATAATGTGGTTTTGAACTCTATGTCATCCAGTAGTTTGCTTTCCTCCATTTCTTTCATTCGTGACATGTTTCTTTGCCTCCGCAATTTGGTTGCTTCCCTGTGTTCACGGAGTGGCTTTGTGTGGTAGGTGACCCATAAGGGCCAGTAGCCCAGCCTCCCCAATCACCTGAGGTGGACACTCTTAGTACAGCCTTTTCTGGGCTGAGTGTAAAGTCTTGGTGTAGTTAAACCTTGATTGCTGTTGGTACACTGGGAGGAATTAACCTCCAGGCCAATTGGCTGTGAGGACCCACTGTGGAAGAACTGCTGTGCTGGAGACACGCTTATGGTGCAGGCCTTGTTTCAGTGGGGCTTTGGTACTCACTGAGTCCACCTCCCAAATGTGTCATTTATGGATGTGAGGAGTTGAAATCTGGTGTCTCACACTGACTACTAGGTACACTGGCTTCTGGATCTCCAATGGGGTGCAGGTCAGCTACTGTCTGAGGCCACCCTGCAGGAGCTACAGCGAGAACCACAGTTTTCTCCTCTTTGCTTGGGATTTGGAAGTTTTGGGTTGCAAGTTTGTTAGGTTAAGCTGTGATAGAGCAGGCCATTCATATGCAAAAGCCACTGCTTGGAGCTTGGGTAGGTTTGTAGGTTGTTCAGGGCGGGGTCTCAGGGCATCACTAGGGTTGGGCATGGCAAACAGCTATCACTATCAGTCAGCTGTCTCTGCATCTGACCGAGTCCGTGTCCCGTGCCCCAGGACAGTAATCAATTATTCCTGCATGCAGCTGTGCAAGCAAGCCACCCTCACTTTCCAACCCGATGGCAGACAGTCCAGCTTCTCCTATAGGAGTTTGGGTCCCCCACGTCTCCCCAGAAACTGGATTTCAGAGTAATTGGGAGCTTGTCTCCCTTCGGGTTGAAAAAAGCAATGCCCCACTGCCAACCTGGATTGCGTGCCTCCGTACCTCAGCTTTTCCGTGTTTATGACTGAATGCTCCTTTTTCTTTCCTTCTAGTTGTAAACTCCCACTCAGCCCACTTGCCCATGGTTCTGTGTGGTAGACGTTTTGTTTTTAAGTTGTAGTTTTGAAATTGTTTGAGGCAGCAGTTTAGGTGTTTTCCTATGCTGCCATCTTGGATCCTCCTCCATTATTTTTAACTTTATAGCTTTTAACCTTCACATTAGGAAATTGAGAAATCTTTTCAAATAAATAAAAAAAGAAAGTTTGTATGCAAATATTTTGTTTAATTTATCTGTCATACAGCACCACATCAAATTCCCCCTACAAATCAACACTACGTAAGTAGAGCCTGTGGGAAATGAGAACCCATTTTTTCATTATCACTTGGTAATGACACACTCACCAGCCTACTTGTGGAAATTTCCCGATGCATCATCCTAATGGAATAGCTCTGAGGCTGTGGCAGCCTCCGTCCCCCTGCCACTTAGGTGGAGAAGGGTTACTGTGGGCTGCATGGGTTTCATGCTTTGACAAAACAATACAAAAAGAAAACGCTTTGTCTACATGAAGCCAAAGGAAATAAACCAGATTTGCAAATGTATCTTCACCAATTATTTTATACTCCTCAAATTTTGTCTTAGTAATTTTTTCCCTGGTAATAAAATCAAATTATACTTATGGGGACTATCACACGCCTTTGGCGTGATTACCGAGCTCATTAGGAGCTCAGTGCAGAGAGAGGTGGTTCAGAGGCATTGCATACGCCCATATTGGAATCTTACTTCTGCATCTGGGCCCTTCCTGTGCAATGGGATAAAGTACTGCCTGCTCCATGGGGCAGGGAAGGCTGGTCAGTTTGAATCTAATCTGACACATGGGAAGCACCTAATGAGTGTTGCCTCTTTATTGTTTATTTCCTCAACACTTAAAGTTTGTTTTTATAATTAAACTAGAGACCCAGTGCATGAATTTGTGCACAGGTGGGGTCCCCAGGCCTGGCTGGAGATCAGGGTCGGTCAGGGCCGGGCCAATTGGGGTCTGCCAGCCAGGGGGAGGGACGGGGCACAGGAGGTTGGCTGCCGCCAGCTCCAAGGAGGGAGCCAGTCCTCGACCCCCCTGGGAAAGGGGCTGTGTCTGCTGCCACCCAACACCGGTTCCCTGACCCAGCCGGGGGCCTGAAGGACCCTGCAGGGCTGGGAGGGGAGGCGCCGGTCACTGGGCCTGGCATGGAAAAAACAGACTACATTGAGTGTTTGCCCCCTGGTGGTCAGTGTGCCATCATAGAGACTGGTCGACCGGTCTTTTTTTTTTTTGTAATGGTCATTGAGGCTTTTATTTATAGATGTGAGCAGATAGAAGTGTTTTCCCCAGGTGATGTGAGGTGTAAGCTATAAACTATAAGAGAGGGCAATGCAGATATTTTTTAGTTCAAAATGGTTTCATGTCCCCCCCCCCCCCCATTTTTAATATAGCAGAGCCCTGTCCAGTGTGACTTGGTTAGAGCACCGTCCCATGCTCCAAAACACACCCAGTTCAATTCCCAGTCAGAGCGCATGCCCAGGTTACAGGCTGGATCACCAGTGGGGGTACCTAGGAGGCAGCCAATCGATGTTTCTCTCTCATCAATTTTTCTATTTCTCTCTCTTTCTCTCTAAAGTCAATAAAAGCATATTTTAAAAAAGAAGATAAAATGAATATAACAGAAATAGTTTATCTAGATTTATTCATCCAGAAGGCTACATAGGAAGAGGTATTTGACTTAACAAACCTTAGAAAGAACTTTTTATGATTGTGTTCAGTGACTCAAAGGCAGTATGTGATTTTTATCCAAAGCATTTTTGTTCAAAGGCATATATGCTTTGTGTTAGCTTTTTAAAGTTATATTTAAGTAAAACACCTGCCGACAATAAAGCTAGTATTTATAGAGTGCTTAGTGTGTGTTAAACAGTGTTGTAGGCATTTTACTTATACCAACTCATGAACTCCTCACGAGCACCTGTGGGGCCAGGTTCTGTCATTGTCTCCATTTGTACAGGAAGCTGAGGCGCAAAGAAGTTACTAACTTCTGACGGCTGTTCTCCTGGGGAGAGAGGCCTGCACTACGCCGTCTCACTGCAGAGCCTGTGCTTTTAACCAGGCTCTATGTCCCTAAACATTCCGATAGGAAGGAGTAAAAGTTGGTTAAATACAATGCCAAATTTGTATTGAAAACAGCGTAGTCTGTTTTTTCAACTCCTCAGGGAGTTGTCTTAATCCAAGAATTTGAATAATATTAGAGAGTTAGTGTTTTGAAGTTCACCTCTTGTGCAAATTTCATTTCGTTCTTTTCCTCTTTTAGTTTTTCAGTTATGGAACGGACATATTATATCAAAGCAGCGACGCTTTTCAGTCTAAATTCTTCCCACCCCTCCAAAAAGCGATGCTGCCACCTGACAGCTTTCGGGGGAAGGTGGCCTTCATCACCGGGGGAGGCACCGGCCTTGGCCGCGGGATGACCACGCTCCTGTCCAGCCTTGGGGCTCGCTGTGTGATCGCCAGCAGGTGAGTTGCCGGGGGTGCCAGCCGCCGGTGCTGAGCTCCAGAGGGGAACTCTGCAGAGCGGCTGGTTTGCCTCTTACCTTCCGTGACGTCTGCCAGGCCAGTCAGTCTCCTGGGAGCCTGGGAGCGCTGGCAGCACTGATGGCTCCTGGAGCAGCTTTCAGTGCATTTCCCAGCCGGTGACGGAGCTGTTTTTGTCTACGGAGGTGCAGCTGAAAATACCACGTTGAGCCGCTTTGCTCTCCGTGGGGTGATGTAGTTATTGCTTCAGAGGCAGCTGTGTGCGCGGATGAGGGTATAATCCTTCGCGTCCTATCGGGGGCAGTGTCTCACACACGTGTGGTTGTGATGATGGTGGGGAGGGGGAGGCCACGTGGAAAGAGTCTCAGAGGTCTTCCCTGGGAACTGCAAGTCTAGAGCGAGGGGCGGCGCCTCCCGTCTCCCACTGAGAACAGTGCAGACAGTGGGAGGGTCTCTCAGTGTGATTACCGCCACCAAAGGAATCGCCTTTGATGAATGCAAATTGGCCAGACTATTTCTGTTTTTGTCTATGCTGCAATATTTTTAAGTGTGGAAACCCCTTTTTTGTAACACCACATAATCTGCCGGAGCTAATCAGCAGATCCTGAGTGACGGATGAATGATGATCATTTCTGTGACAGAGAGGGAGGGCTAAGGGACTGCTTGGCTAGAGGAACCAGACAGCCCACTCGCCTGCCTCCTTAGGCTTTTATTGTAGCAACAGCGTGAACTAAAATTAACCATGGGGTACCATCAGCAGGTAAGTATCCCTGAGAAGACACACGCCTGCAGTGTATTTAAGCAGGGGCGGCTGAAGACCAAGCGGACAGACTCCAGTGGACACATGGGGCTCAGACATTTAGAAAGTCAAGGCAGGGGCAGCCGCTTCCAGCAAGGACTCTTCAGAGGCCCTGACCTTTCAGAGAATCCTCCTTACAGACTTTCCAACCAAGCCACAAAAATCCACACTCATGATGACTTTTCATCTTTCTTTCTAGAGTAGGGGGCCTGAATGCACACAGTGCACTTACCAGCATCAGTGTGGTCTGAAATCTGCTATCACAGGTGGACCGCAGACTCTCGTGCAGAGGGTAGTGTAAGCTTACATCATCACGGATGTGTTTTCCTTCTAAAGCAGCCTTGGGAACAGATATAAATTATTGCAATTAAGAAAAAAATTTAAACCTATGAGTAGATATAAAATATCTCATTTAAATGAAATCCAATACAGTAGTATGTAAATTTTCTTGAATCAAACTTTTAGAAAAATGCATTCATTCAAACTGATTTATTTGTAGCTTTTGTATATTCTCAAAAATGCATCCCTTTAAGCTACAGACTCTCTTTTCATGGGAGTAAGAAGAAAAAGTAGATGCCGGCATTTCAGAGCTCATGCACAGGACGCGGTGTGTCTGTTTTCAGGAAGACGGATGTTTTGAGAGCCACCGCAGAGGCTATTTCTTCCCAGACTGGAAATGAGGTACATGCTCTCAGACTCGGGAGAGTCCGTGACGACCGGCACGCGGTCTTCTTCCGGACCAGAGCCAGCGGCTCCTCTGGTTCCTCTGCAGGTGCGGGCGGTGCAGTGTGATGTGCGGGACCCTGACATGGTCCGCAGTGCGGTGTCGGAGCTGATCAGCGTGGCGGGCCTTCCTGACGTGAGTGGTGGTGATGCGCCCACGGGTGCGGGGGTCCCCGTGGGTGCGGGGGTCCCGTGGGTGCGGGGGTCCCGTGTGTGTGGGGTCCCCTATGAGTACGGGGGTCCCGTGGGTGTGTAGGTCCCGTGGGTGTGGGGGTCCCGTGGGTGCGGGGGTCCCGTGGGTGTGGGGTCCCCTATGGGTACGGGGGTCCCGTGGGTGTGTAGGTCCCGTGGGTGTGGGAGTCCTGTGGGTGTGGGGGGTCCCCGTGTGTGTGGGAGTCCCGTGGGTGTGTAGGTCCCGTGGGTGTGGGAGTCCTGTGGGTGTGGGAGTTCTGTGGGTGTGGGAGTTCTGTGGGTGTGGGGGTCCCCGTGGGTGCGGGGGTCCCGTGGGTGTGGGGGTCCCATGGGTGTGGGAGTCCTGTGGGTGTGGGGAGTCCCGTGGGTTTGGGGGGTCCCCGTGGGTGTGGGAGTCCCGTGGGTTTGGGGGGTCCCCGTGGGTGTGGGAGTCCCGTGGGTGTGGGGGGTCCCCGTGGGTGTGGGGAGTCCCGTGGGTGCAGGGGTCCCATGGGTGTGTGGGTCCCGTGGGTGCGGGGGTCCCCGTGGGTGCGGGGGTCCCGTGGGTGCGGGGGTCCCGTGGGTGTGTAGGTCCCATGGGTGTGGGAGTCCCGTGGGTGTGGCGGGTCCCCGTGGGTGTGGGAGTCCCGTGGGTGTGGGGGTCTCGTGGGTGTGGGGGTCCCGTGGGTGTGGGGGTCTCGTGGGTGTGGGGGTCTCGTGGGTGTGGGGGTCCCGTGGGTGTGGGGGTCTCGTGGGTGTGGGGGTCTCGTGGGTGTGGGGGTCTCGTGGGTGCGGGGGTCCCGTGTGTGTGGGGTCCCCTATGGGTACGGGGGTCCCGTGGGTGTGGGGAGTCCCGTGGGTGTGGGGGTCCCGTGGGTGTGGGAGTCCTGTGGGTGTGGGGGTCCCGTGGGTGTGGGAGTCCCGTGGGTGTGGGGGTCCCGTGGGTGTGGGAGTCCCGTGGGTGTGGGGAGTCCCGTGGGTGTATGGGTCCCATGGGTGTGGGAGTCCAGTGGGTGTGGGAGTCCCGTGGGTGTGGGGGTCTCGTGGGTGTGGGGGTCCCGTGGGTGTGGGGGTCTCGTGGGTGTGGGGGTCCCGTGGGTGTGGGGGTCTCGTGGGTGTGGGGGTCCCGTGGGTGTGGGGGTCTCGTGGGTGTATGGGTCCCGTGGGTGTGGGGGTCCCGTGGGTGTGGGGGTCTCGTGGGTGTGGGGGTCCCGTGGGTGTGGGGGTCTCGTGGGTGTATGGGTCCCGTGGGTGTATGGGTCCCGTGGGTGTGGGGGTCCCGTGGGTGTGGGGGTCCCGTGGGTGTGGGGGTCCCGTGGGTGTGGGGGTCCCGTGGGTGTGGGAGTCCTGTGGGTGTGGGGGTCCCCGTGGGTGTGGGAGTCCCGTGGGTGTGGGGGTCCCGTGGGTGTGGGAGTCCCGTGGGTGTGGGGGTCTCGTGGGTGTGGGGAGTCCCGTGGGTGTATGGGTCCCATGGGTGTGGGAGTCCCGTGGGTGTGGGAGTCCCGTGGGTGTGGGGGTCTCGTGGGTGTGGGGGTCCCGTGGGTGTGGGGGTCCCGTGGGTGTGGGGGTCTCGTGGGTGTATGGGTCCCGTGGGTGTATGGGTCCCGTGGGTGTGGGGGTCCCGTGGGTGTGGGGGTCTCGTGGGTGTGGGGGTCCCGTGGGTGTGGGGGTCTCGTGGGTGTGGGGGTCTCGTGGGTGTGGGGGTCCCGTGGGTGTGGGGGTCCCGTGGGTGTGGGGGTCTCGTGGGTGTGGGGGTCTCGTGGGTGTGGGGGTCTCGTGGGTGCGGGGGTCCCGTGTGTGCGGGGGTCCCCTATGGGTACGGGGGTCCCGTGGGTGTGGGGAGTCCCGTGGGTGTGGGGGTCCCATGGGTGTGGGAGTCCCGTGGGTGTGGGGGTCCCCGTGGGTGTGGGAGTCCCGTGGGTGTGGGGGTCCCGTGGGTGTGGGAGTCCCGTGGGTGTGGGGGTCTCGTGGGTGTGGGGAGTCCCGTGGGTGTATGGGTCCCATGGGTGTGGGAGTCCCGTGGGTGTGGGAGTCCCGTGGGTGTGGGGGTCTCGTGGGTGTGGGGGTCCCGTGGGTGTGGGGGTCTCGTGGGTGTGGGGGTCCCGTGGGTGTGGGGGTCTCGTGGGTGTATGGGTCCCGTGGGTGTATGGGTCCCGTGGGTGTGGGGGTCCCGTGGGTGTGGGGGTCCCGTGGGTGTGGGGGTCCCATGGGTGTGGGAGTCCTGTGGGTGTGGGGGTCCCCGTGTGTGTGGGAGTCCCGTGGGTGTGGGGGTCCCGTGGGTGTGGGAGTCCCGTGGGTGTGGGGGTCTCGTGGGTGTATGGGTCCCGTGGGTGTGGCGGGTCCCCGTGGGTGTGGGAGTCCCGTGGGTGTGGGGGTCCCGTGGGTGTATGGGTCCCGTGGGTGTGGGGGTCTCGTGGGTGTGGGGGTCCCGTGGGTGTGGGGGTCCCGTGGGTGTGGGGGTCCCGTGGGTGTGGGGGTCTCGTGGGTGTATGGGTCCCGTGGGTGTATGGGTCCCGTGGGTGTGGGGGTCCCGTGGGTGTGGGGGTCCCGTGGGTGTGGGGGTCCCGTGGGTGTGGGAGTCCTGTGGGTGTGGGGGTCCCCGTGGGTGTGGGAGTCCCGTGGGTGTGGGGGTCCCGTGGGTGTGGGAGTCCTGTGGGTGTGGGGGTCCCCGTGGGTGTGGGGGTCCCGTGGGTGTGGGAGTCCCGTGGGTGTGGGGGTCTCGTGGGTGTGGGGAGTCCCGTGGGTGTATGGGTCCCATGGGTGTGGGAGTCCCGTGGGTGTGGGAGTCCCGTGGGTGTGGGGGTCTCGTGGGTGTGGGGGTCCCGTGGGTGTGGGGGTCTCGTGGGTGTGGGGGTCCCGTGGGTGTGGGGGTCCCGTGGGTGTGGGGGTCCCGTGGGTGTGGGGGTCTCGTGGGTGTGGGGGTCCCGTGGGTGTGGGGAGTCCCGTGGGTGTGGGGGTCCCGTGGGTGTGGGGGTCTCGTGGGTGTGGGGGTCCCGTGGGTGTGGGGAGTCCCGTGGGTGTGGGGGTCCCGTGGGTGTGGGGAGTCCCGTGGGTGTGGGGAGTCCCGTGGGTGTGGGGGTCCCGTGGGTGTGGGGAGTCCCGTGGGTGTGGGGGTCCCGTGGGTGTGGGGGTCTCGTGGGTGTGGGGAGTCCCGTGGGTGTGGGGGTCCCGTGGGTGTGGGGAGTCCCGTGGGTGTGGGGGTCCCGTGGGTGTGGGGGTCTCGTGGGTGTGAGGTCCCCTATGGGTACGGGGGTCCCGTGGGTGTGGGGGTCCCGTGAGTTTGGGGTCCCCATGGGTGCACCGGCCGACCCTGTGATGCTGTGGGCCGTGGCCAGGTTAGAGCCGCGGTGCCCAGTCCTTGGGCACCTGCACAGGCGGTGGCCCCAGAGCAAACCGCACCTCCTGCTGTGATGGGAGGTGACTAACCAGGGCCCTGGCCCAGGCCCAGGCCCGCATGAAGGACTCTTGGCTGCCTAATGACCTGATCGTGTCTGTTGGAGAATAATACAAACAAGGAGCCCACTGGGGCGCAGTTCACGTGGGTGTGGCTCTCAGGCTGGGGGTGTGAGGGGAGGAGACGGGGGAGAGAGGGGAGGCCATCTCCCCGGTCCTGAGGAGGCTCTCACGTTAGAGACGCAGGGGTACAGACTGCAGACCTGGAGCCGGGCAGGGCCTGCTCGGGGTGGGGGCAGTCAGCAGCAGGGCCTGGGGAGTGAAGCTGAAGCTGGAGGTGTTGTAACCGAGACCCCTTGAGACAAACTAGTCACCAGATAGGTGTTCACATCTATTACGTCCTCACCTAGAGGCCTGGTGCACAGATCTGTGCACTGGTGGGTCCCTTGGCCTGCAGGAATCAGGCTGAAACCAGCTCTCCGACATCCCCAGATTGCAAGAGGGTGGTTCTCAGGGGGCGCACCCCAGGATTGGGCTTCCTCCTCTCTGGTTCCTGGTGTGTCATAGCTACCTGCTGGAGCATCTGCCCCCTGGTGGTCATTGCACATCAAAGCTACTGGTCGGACGGCCGGATGGTCACTTAGGCTTTTATTGTATATATAGATGGCAGACTGCTCCCTGGTCTTGAGAGAAGACGTAGGATTCTGAAATTTGAAAAGTAACAGATTTCCACAGGCTCAAGTCTCGGTGTTCCTAGCAGATGGGAGTCACTGTGCTTGTTGGGTTAACACGTCTCAGAGCGGGAGCCCTGGGGGTGACGACCCGCCTCGCCTTGGCCTCTGACTGCTCGCTCCTCCACTAGGTCGTGATAAACAACGCGGCCGGCAACTTCATCTCTCCCACAGAGAGGCTGTCCCCCAACGCCTGGCGGACCATCACCGACATCGTCCTGAACGGCACGGCCTTCGTGACCCTGGAAGTGGGGAAGCAGCTCATTAAGGCGCAGCGAGGTGGGCCGCCCTCCTGTCCGCGGCACGCCGGCCTGGGGCAGCCGGGCTGGACCGAGGGCAGGGCCACGGTGCACCAGACAGGGCCTCCTTCCGGAGGAAGGTCCTCCGGCCTGGGGTGCGCTGGCCAATGTCAGGGGCACTGGGCCATGGCATGGCTCTCCCCATGACCGCGCGGCCCAGCTGGCGTTCAGAGGTGGTCGGAGTGGGGTGAGGGCGGAGGGGGCGGGAGCACGCTGGGTGTAATGGAGCGTCCCTGGAAAGTTGGGGTTGCTTCGGAAGGGAACAGGGTTTTTCCTGAGGATCTCTTGCACGTGTCTCCCGAGGGTGGTACTGGTTGGGAAGGTTATTGCAGCCCGGCACAGAGGAGGGGACCGCTGGGCCGGTTCTTCTCGCACGTGGACGGGAGGATGGAGGGTAATTCAGGATGTCAGGAGAAGAGGCTTTGCTGGGCAGTGCGGGTTCTGCGTGGGAGTTGGCGGGTGCGGATGGCCACGGAAGGCTGCGGTGTGGGGTTTACTAGGAAGACATTTGTGTTTAATTTGGGGAAGGGTGTGGGGACAGACAGCAGGTGCTGGAGAGGCCCCAGCTGCGCCCGCGTCCGTGTGTGTGTGTGTGTGTGTGTGTGTGT